CAAAAAGGCATGCTTCACTGAAAATCCTTCCTCTAAGCTCCTGTGAACAGACTAAGCCACAAGAGTGAAAAGGGTAGGAGCCTCAGGGTTGAGCCTATTCCAAGGAGGGTATTAATATGACCACTGCTTGAAATCCATTTCCCTTATTAATTAGCACATTCATTCATTCTTTCAATGGTGATTATTAAATGACTATTATGTTCAAGATACTGGAAATGCTTAATACATCCCTAAAGGGCAGTAAGCATTATGATGGAGGTCAAGATGGAAGTGAATTTGACAAAAATGGAAGAGGTGGAGAGATTGTGCTTAAGAGTGCATACTGTTCTTGCAGAGGCTCCAAGTTCAGTTCCCAGCACCCAGAAGTTATAGAAAAACAGAAGAAAATGGATATCCAATGTAAATTCACAGGAGAGAGAAGTTTTCTCGATTTGTAGCTTAGAACCATCTCCTGCAATTCTCTACTTCCCCCTTTTCCTTGCAGCATGGGAGTCACCCCCTAAACAATTCTCAGCAAAGCATGGGGAAGTGGGACAATCTTGTGTCGGAATGGGCTCTTCTCTGTATTTAGTAATCCTGAGCAGAGGCACCTCACAATCCATTTAAAAGGTTTGAAGGTAAATTGCCTATACTTGAAGCACACAGATTTGGAGTTTAGGAAATCATCAGGACACTGCCGAGACTTTGGATTTTTAACTTGTAGAGTGCTGGAGGGTTTTGAACAGCTGATGCACATAGATAAGTTGAAGCTACTGTAAAGGTCTAAGCAAAATTCGATGTCTGGGAGGAGATGGCTGAGTGAAGGAAATACTTGCTGCACAACCATGAAGACTCATGTTAGAATCCTCAGAATCCTTGTAAAAGCTGAACTGGTAGATCACACAAGCAACTGCAATTCCCATGCCCCGGTGGACAGACAGGAGGTAGAGACAAGAGAAGCTTGCCTGGGGTATGCACTGGGAAAACAGCAAAAGAGAGCCTGCTTCAAATAAGATAACAGGTGAGGACTTACAGGGAAGGTTGTCCTCAATCTTTCACAGGGATGCTGTGGCATGACTTGTGCATAACTCCATTTACCCAATGTGTGTGTGTGTGTGTGTGTGTGTGTGCGTGTGCGTGCATTTACACAAGCATGTACACCATACACAAACACAGATACAGTCACAGACACACATACAGTCACAGACATCCAACTTCACACACACATACACACACACACACACACACACACACACACACACACACACACACACACACACACTGAGAGTAAATAGACTGAATAATGGCTCTCCAAAGGTATCAATTCCTAATTAGACATTCCAAAACAATGTGTAAATGTTACCTAATGAACAGAAAGGGTTTAGGAGGAGATTATGCTGTTGACCAATAGGCTTGAAAATCTGTATACACAAACGTCTTTTCAAGAGAAAGAAGCCATGTGGAAGAAAAGGCTCTGTGAAAATGGAGACAGAAATTGGAATAAGCCAAGGAGTATTATCCCACCAGCATTTCCAGTGGAAAAGTCGAGGAGCTGATTCTTCCCTAGAGCTGTGAGAGGAAGGATAGCCTTAGTGAATTTTTCATGTCCTATTTATACTAATCTGTGACTTCTGACCTTGGGAACTATTAGAGAATAAATCTCTGTTGTGTAAGATATCCAGCTTGTGGTATTGTGTTATAGCATAAGCCAGAAACTAATACAGCTATGGTGCTGGGAAGCAGAGAGCTGTTGTAACAAGTACATAAAAATACAAAGTTGACTTTGGAATTAAGTAATGGGTAGTAGCAACTGGAAGAATTTTCAGGGCCATGGTGGTAACAACCAGATTTTCTGAAACATTCCTACTGGCAAAAATGTGGAAATCTATGGCATTTATGGCAAGAGGTGAGAAAGAAGAATTCGTCAGAGAAAGCCTGCCATATGTACACTCATGTCAGAGAGTGTATATATCACCAAACGTTAACATCTATGTTGGCTTTTATGTGTGGGTACTGGATGAAAATGAAGAGGAAATTATTGTGGGAAAGCAATATTTTTTTGTACAGTGGCAGAAAACTTACCTGAACCGTGTCCTGTAGTTGTATGGAAAACTGCCCATGTAAGTGATGGGCTTGGCCATTTGCTTGAAGAGATTTCCAAGGCAAATTTGAATTTGTGGTGTAATTTCTTCTGGATACTTGTGCTATGATGTTATGAGAAGAAAGAGAAAAGCAGACAGAAAATTGCTAAGCAAAAATGAACCCAGACTGGACTCTAGAAAATTCTTATTCTAGTCTAGATGATAAAAGATGCTAACACCAGGAAAGTCACCATCAAGAAAGAGTGCTCTGGAGAAAATTCCAAGAGTGTGGCTAGACAGTTGCTTTGCTAATACTACAGAGTGCATGGAGGAGACGATTCAGGAAAGAATTTCGTGGATATTTTTAATAGTCTGAATCTGTGTGGCTTACACTGAAGACACAAAGGGCTTTCAATAATGCTATAGCCCCCAAAAGTACTACCAATTTAGACTAAGAAAGGTGGTAGGATGATATGAAAGAAGGATATTGGATTTGTAATTTTTCTTTTTAAATTAAGACTTTATTATAAAGAGATCAACATAAAAATAACCAGGCAAATTAACTAGACTTAATTCCTGTACATCTATATAGTTAGCATGGCCCATTTTGAAGCTGTAGAGCTTCGCATACTATTTTATACTTTCAGTATTTTTTATAGACTTAACCACCACTAGAAAATAAAAATTGCATGACAGACTTGAAACTGGAAGAACAATTGTCTTTATATCATCTTTTGTGACTTAAGTGTCTGTTATTCATCCCCTAATATGTTCCCTTTCCTTTCTGTCTGCTTGTTATTCTGTACCCACAGGTACATTTGTTTACACAGATACATTTATATTTCAGGCTAAGATCAGCATACAAGAACATGCATTTCTTTCCTTTCTAATACTGTGTACATTCTCTTAATATTATACATTCTAAGTTTTTACAGTTTTGAACAAATTTTGTGATTTCAACTTTAGAATTGATTCATATTCCATTTTATATACATACCCATTTTCATTATCATTCATCTACGTATAGAAAACAAAGTTGGTTCTATTTCTTTGCTATAGTGAGTGAAGCAGCAATAAACATAGGATGTGAGTATCTCTATGGTAGGGTATAGAGGGCCAGAAGTGAAAAAGCTGAGTCAAACAGCCCGATTTTCTATAGGCAGAACACAAACTGATAAAAGTACTTAGCTAAAAGATGTGATATCCATATATATATAGTCTTCCAGTGTGGTGGTTAATATCAATGTGAAGGGATCTAGAACAGTGGTTCTCAACCTGTAAGTATTTAAGGGTCGAATGAACTCTTCACAGAGGTTGCCCATTGGAAAACACATACTTACATTATGATTCACAACACTAGCAAGTTTACAGTTATGAAGTAGCAATGAAAATAATTTTGTGGTTGAGGGTCACCCCAACATGAGGAACTGTATTAAAGGATCACAGCATTAGGAAAGCTGAGAACCACTGTTCTAGAACCGCTTAGGAAGGATGCTCATGAGAGATTTTCTAGAATGGATTAGTTGAGATGGGAAGATTTACCCCAGAAGCAGGAGGCACCCTTCACTGGCTTGGGACCTAGACTGCGTACAAGGGAAGCAGCTAGCTTGGTGTAAGTACTCGCCACTCTTTCCCTCCTGACTGGGGGTGAACTGTGATGAGTCTTTGTGCCTTTGCGGCAGTGGTGGGCTGTACTGTGGAACTCTGAGATGTAAACCCTTCTTTCCTTAAATTGTCTTCGGCAGATATTTTGTCACATTAACCAATAAGTAATTAATACTTCCAGTAAATGCAAAGGCTAGACTCTGAGTTCTGGGATACCTACAGAAGAGCACATAAGGTTTTAGATCTATGATTCTGCTGCAAAATATTACCAGGCTGGGCTGACCAATTTTCATATTACATTCATTTTCACAAAGAGCTGCCTGCAGTTCAAATCCTAAATCTCATTTTACCAGTGATGGTTTCTAACGCATCTCCGGCTGTTACCTCTGAAGTAGGTAGCATTGATCGGATTCTTTCAGATGCTACTTGACCAATTCTAGAATGCAAATTCTCTTTGGAGACTTTCATTTGTTTTACCTACTTGATTAATTACTAGTAGTTATTATGTTTATGCTGGTGTATTTAAAAGTAAACTATGCTTGGAATACCAAGTTTGAATTGCCCTGCACTCCAGTGCTTTCGTTGCCCCATCCGTAACTGATCAATGAGGTGCCTGCTTCGTTACAGTCATTGGCAGTAGAACAGTCCCTGACATGGGTCTGGCAGAACAAGAGACAAGAATTCGTAAGTGGTTTATTAATGAAGTGCTCCCAAGGGAGAAACACTGAAGGAAGGGGAGAAGCTGGACATGGGAGAGGATGTAGCTAAACAAGGGTGTCACCTCAGGAGGAGCTCCAAAGTGGCAGTCTTATAAGGTGAACACCTGGAAATGGCAAAAAAGAATATGAGACTGTTAGCACAGTAGCTCTTGGCTTATGTGACATTCAGAGTGTTTCCTGGCCCAGTGCTGTCTAAGGACCCATCTCCGATGAGATAATCACAGAAATCACAATTTATCACTTAGAAAAACTCACAGCAATATGACAGTAATTTGATGTCTGTTGAATCGAATGTTAATACTAACTGGTGTTATTTTATTTCATTTTTCTAATAGTTTTTTTTAACTCAGGGCCACAGAACACATTAAAGTGTTGCTATTACTAAAATGGAAAACCATTCACCAACTTCCTAACTGAGGCTGAAATGTAACCCAAATTGTGTGGTACCAGAGACTAGAAACTTAATGTGACTATGATGATTAGAAGCACATACTTTTAAGAGGTGATGTAGATTAGAGGAGGTCATCAAGGTGAAGCATGATGAATACTGATGGCTTTGCAAGAACAAAATATCAAAAGAGAGACTCATGTAGATTCCCTTCTCTCTTGCCATTAGGTTCCACAGTCTTTGGACTCTGCTAGCAAGGAAATCATTACCATAGGGCTTATGCCTTGTGCCTCTAGAACTGTGAGCCAAAATAAATATCTTTTCTTTACAATGTAATTTGCCTCTGCTATCTCATTATAGTAATGGAAATGGGCTAATAGATTATTTTTAAAATATCTCCTTAATTTCTGTTAGGATCCAAGTTACAAATCAGCTATGAATTTTGTTTGATTTTACATTTTAGTGGAAGATCAAGATAATAATAAATATCTAAATAAAATTTAAATATCAAATGGGCTAGAAATAACAATCATGTGTTATAAAAAAAAGTGAGGGGGGAATAGATGACAGGGACAAAGTTAGGGTAGTTGTAGTTGTTGTCCATTAATACAATCTTAATGCCTTACCAAAATGAACTTGCTGATCCTGTGAGTAAAAATACTGGCACAGCTTGTCTGGCTCAGGACTTCAGATCTTTTAAAGTCATAGTCAAGGTGTTAAATGCATTGTATTCTCAGCTCAAGGCTCAAATGGAGAATAATCTAATTTTCTTTTGTGGTGCATGGAATTGACTCTAGGGTTTGGCACATGCTAGTGCTTTACTGATTTTATTATTATTATTATTATTATTATTATTATTATTATTATTATTATTATTATTTTGTTTTCTGAGACAGGGTTTCTCTGTGAAGTTTTGGTGCCTATCCTGGATCTCACTCTGTAGACCAGGCTGGCCTAGAACTCACAGAGATCCACCCGGCTCTGCCTCCTGAGTCCCGGGATTAAAGGCGTGCACCACCGCCACCTGACTGACTTCATTCTTTTGACATGGAACTTCATGTTAACTTTGAACTTACTATGTAACCCAAGCTGGTCTTAAACTCAAGATTCTCCTGCTCTTATCCTCTAAGGTATGAAATTACAGGCATGAACTACCATGCCTGGCACAGGATAATCCACATCTAAGGTCATTTGAGTTGCTTTGGAGAACAAAAACATCTAGTTTCTTGTGATTGTTGGTCAAAGGTCACCCTTATTTCCAAAATCTACTCTTGGCTACATGTCAGTAGGTATTCTATCATGGACATTTATTCCTTCAATGTCATCAAGGGAGGATATCTTTAGAATGACTCTGATGGCAAGAGAATCTTAAACATAGCATAGTCAGGGAGTGATCTTCCATCTTCTCTCCTGACACAGGGCCTGCTTATACTCTATGGTAAGGATTACACAAAAGAATGAACAGAAGGAGGGTATGATGACAGCTATGTTAGGGTTATCCATCATAGTGGTCAAAGAAAGTATAAATGAGGAAATATGTAAGCAACAATCTGAATGAAGAAAGAGAAAACTTGGAAAAAGCTGATAGAAGATTGAGCAGTGTAAATGTAAAGACCTGGAGGTCAAATGTAGTTGGTGATCCCTTGATTAAGGATAACTTGAGCAGAGGGAAAAATTAGAAGAAATGAGCTCAGAGGGATACTTGGGAGCCAGACCATGTAAGGCTTTATAGATTTGTCTGAGGATGTCATCATTCACTGAGTGAGACAGGGACACTGATGGGTTCTGAACTGAGTCCTAACATGATCTAATATAATCTGTCTACCTTTGGTGTTAGAGTGAGAGAAATTAAGACTCTACTTAGTAATAGACACAAGCACTCTGGCTTATTAGACCACGATAGTAAAAGTACTACTTGAAGTATTCCGGTGGTAGATACAATCAGAAGGGAACACTGATAAGATTTGGAGCATGGTTAGATATATGGCAAAGAAAAAGAGCAGAGCCAAAGATGACTTCAGAGTTTCTGGCTTAAGCAAGTCAAGCAATGAAGTCAGTGAAACTGAGACCAGGGAGATGGTGACAGGGATAGTTTTAAGGATGCATTGCACAGGAAGTACAGAAGTTTGGTTTTGGACACATTATTTTGGTTTGCTTATGTATCAGGTGAGTGATGGTGATAAATAAAACATAGAGTGTGTGAATCAGAGATTCATAGGTGAGGTCAAAGTGAACAACAGAACTTGGCAGTCATTAGCACAATGATGGCATAAAACCACGAGATGTGATGAGTGACCTGATGGAGAAATCTGAGAACT